GATGTCTATTGAAGTTACAAAGTAAACATCCTTAGTAGTTTGGATTTGGTATCAATAAYGTAGACATTGAAATTTTAAAATAGACATTTTTTGTCCARCTTGAGAAATGATTTTAAATAGTCCCTCAACWATTTTTCATTGACTAATTTCAAGATGAYGTGGCATTTAAATAGGTGACTAAGCAAAAAATAATAATATAATAATGTACTTTTAAATTATTAGGACATTAAYCCACACGACCCTCTCGACCTGAAGATCTGCAGTCGGAAACTCAATTTGCAGGTGTTGGATCTGTGCAGGGGAGTTATGGGATTTGGATTGGACAGAATTGGGGGAATCAAATCGAATAAGGATTTGACGAGGGACTTGAAGAAAGCGAGGATAAAGAGTTTTGGCCAGAAGGAAATGATGCAATAGATCACCTTCAGAGAGAGGGAAATTAGCGTTGACAACGAGTAACAGTGTTGAGAATCCATATAAATTAAATGAATTAAATTTATCCATCGACAACAAATTTTAGGTTGGGTGTGGCTTATTTATCTTTAGGTAGGATGGTATCAGTTCAGGAGATCCTGTGTACGAACTCTTGTATCGTTGTTTCCTCCTCATTTATATTGATTTCCACTTGTTAAACTTTGTTAATTATCCAAGYTCACAAGTGAGGGAAGCGTAAGTAAATATGGCCTAAAGTATGATGATTGTTCTTTTGATGCTGAGAAAATCGGGAAGGAAATTGATTAGGTTCTCAAGAATTTATAGAAGGAGAAATAAAGAGTATGCGATCAGTATTTGGCCATTATGAATCTGAATTTTAATTTTATACCGGCTTTGGAACAACCGTGAAAAAATTGAAATGATTGGAATTGCTTCTGAAACTTTTGCGTCGTAGTATAGAGGGAGAGGGGAGAGAACCATAGAGAGAGAAAGTGAGACCATGAAATAGATTTTTTTTTAGGATTTAATATTTCAAATGAAAAGTTTAGATATGAATTTTGGATGATGAAAGTTCAAGGGTTTAATTTTTGTAATTAAAAGTTGTTGAGTACAATTTTTCCATCAATAAATGTTTAAGGGTTTAATTTTACCCTTGTACAAGTTTAAAGATGAAATTACAATAATTAAAAGTTTAAGGGTGAAATTGCAGTAATGATCATATTTTAGGGGTGGTTTGTACAATTTGTCCTAATTTTTTTTTTTTATAAATTTGATCGACGTGTCAAATAGTCTCTCACAATTTCCATGACATCSACGTTTCAACCTTGTATATTTAATCTAATTTTAAAACTACTTTAAATAGAGTAGTTTAATTCTTATATGAAATCGCCTGACACTACAAATTATAATAAAATTTTATTTTAGAATATTTTGAATTTTTTTTTTTTATTTTTAAAGTAGCTTTTGATTGTGATTGGACAGGTGACATTGACAGGATTTTGGAAGCATTCAAGTCCTAGATCTCATCTATATAAAGATCTTGTAAGCATAAATTTTTTCTCCCCATATTGTCCCTTTAATTCTAAATTTTTGTGTATAATTTTGATGACATTTCTGTCATTTCYCTCCCTCGAAAATTACATTATTTTTTACACCCTCTCTCTAAAAAATTATACACCCATCCATATTCCTCTACCTCTCTCGTAAAATTACACCATCCGTTCACATTCCTCCATCTCTCTCCATTACTTTTTCTCAAAATTAAATGTCGAACYTTTTTTTTCCTTTCATCCCATCTATTTACATTCTCTCATCTCTCCACTATTTTTTCAAAATTAATTTTCTTATAAATTATTTATGAAGTGTTAATTATTATTATTATTTAATAATGATAAAAGTTATAATATAAATAGTTTCTTAAAAAATGAATATAAAGAGTTTTTTTTGTTATACAACATGTGGGGTGGARGATCGAAGTCACGATCTCTTGATCAAAGATAGGTGCCTTAATCACTTGAACTATGCTCCGTTTGGCAGAATATAAAGGATTAGAATATATAAAGTTTTGTGTTTTTATTCCTATAAATTAATTAGTTATTTTAAATTTTAATAAATTGGAAAATTTCCAAGTTTTGTAACTTAATATAACAACTTTTTCTTTCTCCTACCCCCAACTTTTTCCTCATCAAAACTCAATCTTCTATTATTCTCATGGATATTTTTCTCTTTTAGCAAATGTCGYTTAAGAATCAAGAGCAAAATTCCCTCAATTACATTATTGCAATGGCGTTGGTGGCTGAATCACTAAGAAGGAGGGCAAGCCAATGTGAAGAGGGGTGGAACATGTTAGAGTGAAAGAAGATGAAATAGTGTGCACCTGAGGTTTACTATTTCTTTTCTATATTTTATTTTATTTGATAAAATTGTATGAATTACTAGACTATAGTACATAATTTTGTTGATTTCTTCTTTCACATTTTCTAATTTCTATTATTTAAATAAAATATTGATTGAATTAATTTTGTAAGTGACATTTCAATTTAATTAATAACATATATCTGGAGAATCATAAACATCTAATTTAATCTCAAAATTAATCTTAAAATTTTCACTTTTCTTAATCCCACTCATTCACTTCCTCCATCTATCCATTATTTTATTTCAAATTTAATTTTCTCATAAATTGTTGATAATTATTTTAATTATTTAATAATACCAAAAGTTAAAATATAAATAGTTTATCTTTAGAAAAAAAAATAAAGAGTTAGAATATATAAAGTGTTATCTTATGTTTTTATAAATTATTTTAATAAATTAGGAATTATTGAAATATGAAAGATTATTAGCGAATAGATCTATAATCAAACTTATTTATCATTTTACATTTGAATTATTCTAATAATTTACTTCCTTTAATTCAATTATGAAATCAACCTCCTCAACTTTTCTTTAATTCAATTATGAAATCAACCTCTTCAACTTTTGTAAAATTAATTTATGTCGCCAAAAAGAACATAYGGTGACGAAATGARTTSGTCGCCATAGAAGACTTTTGATGACAAAATACGACGATTTTAGTGATTAACAAATTTGGTCGTCAAAGGTCAAAATTCCTGTAGTGTAAAAAACTGACTCGCAAACGACTCACCAATTGATAGTATACTTTATACACCACATTTCATGATATTTAGGTAGAAATTATTTAACAATTTTCGGTCATTTGTGGCTTATTTACGTGCATAACTGATGTTTTTTATAGGATCAAGCTATTAGAAAGAATTGAAGCATAAGCGATCAATTGAGGGAAACTAGAGCGAAAAAGAGGAGCTTGATGAAACCACATCAGCGCC